GCCGAAGCTGGAAATGTCAACCAGATTTACCATGCACATCAAACATAATACCATGTTACATATTGCACCGTTCTCCAGTCTATCAGTCCATTATGAATAAGATCGACACGAAAAGCAGCTCAAAACCCTCTGGGTCAAACCATGGGGCAGGGGGCGGAGGTGCAGTGAGAGATACCTAACTGTTGGTGTATACTACAGACCACCAAACCAGGGGGAGGAGCTTGATCCGGAGTTCTCTCAAGAACTGGCAGAGGCTGCACGTACATGGGACATGGTTATCATGGGTGACTTAAATTACCCAGACATCTCTTGGGAGTAACGCTTGGCTAAGTCAGATCAGTTGCATTGCTTCCTGACCTGTATCTAAGAGCCCTACCTGATGGGCCAGGAAGTGATGGGCCAACCAGAGGTAATGCTCTACTAGACTTGGTCTTGGCCAAAGGAGATGATCTGGTGAGCGACTTGAATATAGAAGGTGACAGCGACTGTGAAACCATCGTGTTCACTGTCCATCACAAGGCAAGCAAATCAGCTAGCAGGGTCAAAGTTTTGGACTTCAAAAAAGTGAATTTCAATAGGCTTAGAGCAATAGTAGGGGAAGTGCTGTGGGACCAGGGACCAATGGTGAATAGAGTTCATGAAGAGTGGTCATTCCTCAAGGACACAATTCTCAAATCACAAAAGAAGTTCGTTCCCATGTGGAGGAAAGGTAGCAGAAGGGCTGGTAAGCTCTCTTGGCTTAATAGGGATATCATGGTCCTCTTGAAAAAGAAGAAAGAGGCATACAAACAATGGAAGCTTGGGGCAGTCCCCAAGAAGGACTATACAACAACAGCCGCACTTGTAGGGAGAAGATTAGAAAGGCTAAGGCGGCGACTGAATTTAAACTAAGAACAGGAATCAAGGACAATAAGAAGTCCTTCTTTAGGTATGTAGGGAACAGGAGGAAAACAAATGGAAGTGTGGGACCATTGTTTAACAGCTCAGGACAGCTGGTTACTAACACTCAGGAGAAAACTGAATGCCTGAATGACTACTTACAGGGGTGTAGTTTGTAGCCGTGTTGGTCTAAGGATATAGGCAAACAAGGTTCTTTGGGTGAATCTGATATCTTTTATTAAACCAACTTAAATAGTTGAAAAAGAATTAATTAATTTTTTCCAACTATTTAAGTTGGTCTTATAAAAGATATCAGATTCACCCAAAGAACCTTGTCTGAATGACTACTTTGCTTCAGTATTTCACTGGACTAAAGGGAAAATCATACTAGATAAGGTTCAGAATGGTCATGGTGGGAATAACTGCCTTCCTACTGTTAACAGTGAGCTGATGCATGATCAGTTAGAAAAGTTAGACTTTTATAAGTCAGTCATCCGAGAGTGCTGAAGGAGCTGGCTGAAGTCATCATGGGAGCTCAGGCAAAAACATTTCAAAACTAATGGTGCTCAGGAGAGGTCCCTGAAGACTGGAAAAGGGCCAATGTTGCACCCATCTTCAAGAAGGGGAGGAGAGAAGACCTGGGCAACTACAGGCCAATTAGTCTAACTTCTATCCCAGGGAAAATCCTGGAACAATTCATTAAGGAGTCTATGTGCAATATGCTTGCAGGAGGTGGGATACTGAATGACAGCCAGCATGGCTTCATCATGGGCAGGTCTTGTCTTACCAATCTCATCTCCTTCTATGACCAGGTAACTTGCCACTTGGATAAGAGAGAAGAGGTCAACATTATATACCTATACTTCCAAAAGGCCTTTGATCTGGTATCCCATGATGTTCTCACAGGAAAGTTGGAGGGTTATGGGCTTAACTGCTCAACAGTTAGGTGGATAGGGAGTTGGATGCGAGGTAGGACCCAGAGAGTTCAAATGAATGAATCTGTGTCATCCTGGCAAGAAGTGGCCAGTGGTGTGCCTTAGGGGTCCAGTTCTGGGCACTGCACTTCAACAAGGATGCAGAAAAGCTTGAGAGATTCCAGAAAAGAGCTGCCCATATGATCAAAGACTTGCATGGCAAGCTGTATGAGGAAAGACTGAGGGATCTGGGACTCTTCAGCCTGAAAAAAGAAGGCTGAGAAAGGACTTGGTAGCAGCTCACTGCTACATCAGAGGTGTACATCAGGGGCTCAGTGAACAACTATTCACCAGGGCACCCTTGGGAAAAACTAGGAGTAATGGTCACAAACTCCTGGAAGACTGTTTCAGACTCAACATTAGGAAAAACTGCTTCACAACTAGGGTGTCCAGAGTGTGGAATAAGCTTCCTCCAGAGGTGGTGGAATCACCTACCCTGGAAATTTAAAAAGGAGATTGAACGATCTCCTCACTGGGGTCACCGGACCCCATTTGTCTTTCCTGCCTAGTGCAGGGGGGCTGGACCCGATGATTTTGTGAGGTCCCTTCCAGCCCCTTACAATTTATGAACCTATGAAACACCAATACCGTACCTGATAAAGAATGAGCCTCTTGCAGTTTTGCCTTCCATAAATCAGTCATGATTGGTTTTAAAGCCTCAGGCCATGTGTAGACGAAATGAGGGGCATGTGTGCACGACACTTTAAAGCAGGCTAAATGCTTTTGCACTGCGTTAATGGTGTCAGTGTTTGCATGCCTCAGCAGTGTATTGCACATTAATTCCAGCTGCTTGTAGGAAATTCGGCAGCATAATGCACCTTAAATAACTTGGGGTGCAGCAAACTAAAACTCCTCCATGTTTTAGTTTGCTGCCCCTACAGCCATGGAGAAAAACACTGGGCTCCATGCAGCTCCGTAGCTCTGCAGGCATTCTGGCAGCAGCCCGGGAAGACAGGCTCTGCCCAAGAAAAGCAGCAAGCCTGATCTATTTCCCCCCACCCCCGGAACCTACCTGCCTGCCTGAGTTGTGCAGGGGCCCAGTGCTTCCCTCCATGGCTGTGGTGCCCCACGGGACTGCCTGAGGCAGGTGCCTGAGGGTGGGTACCATATGGGGGGGCCCGCAGCTGCCACAGAGGGAAGCACCAGCCCCTACCGCAGCCCAAGAACTACTCTGCCCGCTGGCAGCTCATCCTCCCCTCCCTGCTGCCAGAAAGGCAGGTAAGTCAGGTGTGTGCATGACACAGGGGTTTACTCGACCCTACATTGAAGCAACATTTTTAAAACCCACCACTTCAATTTATGGCTCCTGTTTCATCTACACACACCCTCAGCTCCTGTAGTCTTGTCAAATATGCAAAACCTTCAGCTTTAATCATTAAGAAAAAAGATGGACATTTCAGGAAAACACTGAAATGTGACTAGAGTATATTTGAAAAGTCCAGAATTGATTAATTTCCTAGTGCATTCTTTGTAAGAAACCTCATGGTTTTTAACGGGGCTGACATGGGGCTGACATAATTTTGTAAAGCTTCAGATTAGCAATAGCAAACAGCAATAGCAAACACAGGCTATTGCAGTTCTTCATGCAGCCAAGCCCTTAATTTTCATACACATAAAATTCATTCTTGATCTAAGAAACCTTTTGTTATAAAGTTTTGTCATGTGGTACATTATGATGAAAAATCTTGATTTCAGCAAATTGGTATGTTCCAATAGTAATTCATTTTATTAAAAAAAAATTGTAGCCTGTTCTAATTTGAAGCATATAAATAGTCCCATTAACTTGTACTTCAGTGATATGCTGACCCAAGAGAATGAGATAATGCCAAGACACAGGTTCTGAATAAATAGTGCCTTGGTGAGAGCTCCTGAATTCTTTTATACCAATATGGTCTCAAATCAATTGCTGCTGCAATTGTGAAATGTCCAAAGGAGAAGCTGGCCTCTTAAGTCAACACTTCTCAACTGGGGTGGCACAGCAGTCTGGAGTCCCAAGATACCCTTCCAGACATGGGTGATATGCTCCACACACCTCCTACAGAGGCAGATCAGGAAATAGCTGCAGCTGGAGCACATAGTCCTTCTGAAGCACTGCCTGGTCCAACCTCACATGCTTCTCCTGAAACCGGTGGTGCATCAGGCACGTGGGACTGTCCCACACCCCTGTGTTTTCAGGAGGAGTCTGTGGGGTTGGACTGGGAAGGGCTGTGGCAGAAGCATGTGTTCTGGCCAGAGCCCTTTGGACTAACCCTCTGGAGAGTGCAGGCTGGCCTGCAGCGCTATTGCCTTGCTCATCTGGAGGGGTCAGGATGGGCTGAAGCAGATCTTTCTACTGCCCAGGCACAGGAGCTGGGTACAGGAACACACAGGGCAGGTAAGACCACACTCCCCACTCCCTGCACCAACACACCTCAGGGGCACAGGGGAGTTTTGCTCCAGGAACAAAACTTTTTAGTTACCCCTCTGCTCCTGCCTGTTTTAGGTTTATCAGAAAACCCTAATACAGGAAGAAGCACATGGTAGCACACTGGTTCAGAAGCACTAATGTGAGTGGAGGCAGCACAACAGGGGTCCTCACCCATCAGTGCTGCCAATTCAAAAAAAGTTGTGGAGGGGAACCCCGACTCTAAAAATGGTTGTAAACCATTGCCTGAAGCAGACAGTCAGGTAAGTCCTAGGGCCATTTGGTTTTTATAGATTAGAACCAAAACCTTCAGATCAACCTGAAAACAAACAGGTAGTCAGTACAGAGCAATGCACAGAGCTGTACTGTGTTGGTTAAATTAAACTCTACTTAATATACAAAATGACAAATCCATTCAATGTCAGATGTCCTCATGGGGTTAAGCTACTGGTCATATATATAATGGCAAATGTATATATACAAAATACTCCTGGGGTGATTATTTGCCAGTTGATAATAAGGTTGTTCTGCAAATTTTTGTAGCAACAGGGGAAGAAGGGGTGGAACATTATTTTGTTGGTGCATCATCAAGCTAACAGTGTTTAGTCCTTTTTTTTTTTAGTTGTACAATTTTCAGGTGGATTGCTGATTTAACCTAATTATATATTCCCACCTAGGCCATGAACTTGCCTATTATACCTAAAGAAATTCATTTTTAATGTATTTTTCTGTGTTATTTGTAGGTGAAACAATCCACATTATTGCATACACCTCCTGCATAATACTAATCTTGGGAATTGTCATGTTGGCTCTACTTAAGACCAGGTAATTTGATAGTTACAAATCTCTGGTGCTAGGAAATTGGAATAATAATTCTCCTTTACACTTTGATCTAGTTTTGTGGTTGAGTTTAAAATAAAGTTCAGTGATGGAATGGACTGGCCCTATTGGTATCCACTCTCTATTTCAGAGGAAGAATGCTAAGCATGGAAAGCTATTTTAGCCACAATTCAGTGGCCTAATACTGTAGTACCTAGTAAGAAGGACCCGATTCTTCCCTGGGCTTTGTTTTTCAGCTTCTCATCACAGATGAGAGTTAAACCTGAATCCAAAATGTTGGAGAGAGCTGGATTATTCCCCTGCTTTTCTAGGGAGCCAGGTCACTCATGCACAGTTTGAAGAAAATGCCCCTTTTTGTGGTAACAAAGCAGAAATTTGCACTGACTTTATCAATTGAACAAATAATATTTTTGTTTGTTATATTTTAAAGATAAAAAAGTAAAAAAAAACAACCCCAAGCCCTAAAACATATGTACATATGTATTGGGCCAAAATAAATAGTAAGCCTTCAGGAACTGCATTATGAGATGATAAGGAATAGAACATTACCCCCAAGAGATAAAATGATCAGGCACTGAGCCAAATTTCATTATTAAATTCAAAATCAAAGATGAAAAAGAAATCTCGTAGAAAGATGTTGTAGGCAAACATTATCTTAGCATTCCAGGTTTGTTGCGAGTGGGGCCCATCCACCCCAAAGTTTATTATAAATAGAAGGGATGACATTCTGATCCAGCTGAAGCCAGTGGAAGTTTTGACACTGACTTCTGTGAAGTCATGGCATCACCTAAAACCTGAAGTATGACTGTTAAACCAATGCACACTCTTTGTTTTCAGAGCCTGCAGAACAACATATCAGTCAAGACATACCTCTCCTGACCATTCATCTGAGACTTTTGGGATCCATTAGCAGGCATTAGAGAATCAACTGCATTGGTAGCCCTTTTAAGACTACCTTTGGTGAAGCACCTACTGTACATTTACAATAATAAAATGTATGTTACAACATCTAGCAAGCTATGGGATTCCATGTCTGAAAGTATGAATGATTTTATATTGAATTACATATGTACATTTAACAAATATACAAATGTTAAAACTGAGCACTCCCTCTTTCTCACCTGTGTCATTGCTATATCCTGTGCTATATATATATTTCATCTTTAGATTATCAGTTTATTGTATACAACATGAAATTGGGCTTGCCAGGTGGCAAACATTTTTACCAAACCTTACCAATATGCATCCTGTGTTAGCCATATACCACCAAGAGAGGGGGGAAAACTTTTAAAGAAATGTTTCAGGGTGTTTTTAACAATCTGCAGGTTCCTGCAGGTTTGCAACACAAGTTGCAGTGGGGATGAATGGGAAGATAACACCAGGAACTTCTCTGTGCTTGGAGAATTTTACAATAGCTCTGAGCAACACACTGCACCTCATGGCTACGAGCAATAGGACTGAACTCACATAGCTCTTTTAATAAAGATCCCATCCAAATGGAGTCCCTTTATTATTGCAAAGAGTTCTGTGCATGAAACAAAACCTAGGGATAATACTCCTTTTTTGTACCTCCATGCCAGACTCCTTTAGTAAAAGGAGTAAAAATGTCCAGACCTAGAGAAAGAGAGAAATTAGTCGCAAACATACATTGGAAAAGTCTAGTCTTCATATAAAGTAGTCTTTATTTCTGTAATAGCAGTGAGATTTTGAAAGTTCCACCCACAGGACTTGAAACTGAAAATTGAAAATCTTCACTAATCTTAGGCCATGTAGCTCCTATTCTGGCATTCATAGGCAACACAGTACCACTTACATCTACACATTAAATGATGACAAAATCATTTGTTTTATAGTTGATGACTTTTTTTTTATTTTTAAATTGCAGCTTCTTGAAGCTGCCAAGGTAGAATGAACTAGTTCCTGAAAAGATGGATAAGTAGGCAGAGTATAGATGAGGTTTCCAAAGGTGTAAGATAAATGCATTTCATTACACCTCTGCAATTTATCACCTGGATAAATGGACCTGATTAGGAAGGTTTTGCTGAAGTGTTTTTGATGGATAATTGGTCTATGCAGCATCAACATTTTATGTGGGAAAAGTTCAATTTTGCTAAAATTGGGTCATTTTAAATCTGAACATTTTGTTTCTACATAATCTCAGATGAGTGGTCTATTAGATGGCTGAACTGCATTTACTTTGTTGCTTTCCTTCTCTGGCCCAATAAATCTTGCATGATTTGATATTTACTGAACATTTTCAGTAGGAGGGATAGGCAGTGACCTACTCTGCCCATCTTGACTATCCTGTGGGAGATGTGGGTGTGACCCCTATGAGGCTGAGGAATGAACAGAACCCAGATCTCCCACATTCTGAGAGAGTGCTTTAATCATTAGATTGTAGATACACAAACAGGAAAATAAAATGATTGGAAAGGTTGTTAATTTGCAAAACTAAAAGGCAGTCCTAAATCAAAAGACTATCCTAAATATCAACCACAGTGTTGTTATTATATATGTGCCCTGTTAACTTTATACGTACACTCACCTACACCGTGATACATATAGGTGAGATTAACTTTATGGGCATTCTCAGATGTGGGGAAAAAAAGAAAAAAATGCCCTTTACTGGAAGAAGCATTAATTCAACCTGGCTCCACAGCATCTGTATAGATCAATATATAGATTTAATCAGCTATTAAATAAAAGTGCCATAAAAGCCTTGCTGAAGCATCTAATCTATACAGACATTGGGTGAGCTGGGTCCCTTGGGTGGACTTAGAAGACCCTCTTCTGGGCATGCACTGAGCTCAGTGCAGGGGCACGTTACATTTAAAGCACCTTTTTTATGTCTGTAAGCAGCCTACATGTATATTTTTAATATATTCTATAACATATAATAATGTATGTCATGTCTGTCTATTTCTCTACATACACTCTACTAGTGTTAAAAATAATATTTCCTTATCTTAGTAACAGAATAAGAATTGGGGCTGGTTTCCAATCTGATTTTAGAAGCACAAAAATAAAGCTGAGCAGTTTGTGTTGCAAAGGCAGCAGGGATACATTTACATTCAGATTTAAAACATCTCAATATACTCAAATAAAAGAAACACTTCTGTCACAACCCAGTGATTTTTGTGCCTTGGCACTATGGAATTTCCTGGCCACATGAGAGCTCCTTTGCATGGCAGAGTGTTCTACTGCAATTGAGAACCCGCATGTAGGAGAGAGTTCCCGCCAATTTGCAGTTTCCTTTGCAGGATGCATTTCTTCTTTGCAGCACAGAAATGCACGGTGCAAAGAGTTCCCGCCATTCGAATGTAAATTTGTGCCCCGCTATTGGCCAGTGCTAAATTATTCATACGTGGCGGCTAGTAATTGGCTCGCTGGCCATTTAAAATTCCGCGCGACTTCCGCCCAAGTTGAAGAACTTTGAGCACGCTGCAGAGTGCCTCTGAAGTTATCTGACTTGCGGCTGCCGATTGATAGACTGATCACCTATTGATCTTTCTTCCCGTCACCGAGCGCAACCCCAGATGTACCCCTTTCCCCACCGGCTTCGAATTGCGGACGGATTAACTGGCTTGGGCCCCACCAGCTGGAACAACTCGTGTGGTTGTTCCGACGACTGGACCACCTGCATCGTGATTGCAAGCAGCGTGAGTAAAGTTTTTTACAACCAATAAGTTGTGTCTGACTCTCCATTCACCAGCCCGCCCTAACGTACGACCAATTTCTAACGTAACTCGAGTTGGCTCTGGCCGTCCGAGACAACTTCTAGTATTGTTTATGTTTACAGTTTTAAACCACCTAAGTTTAGGTTCTAAAGCAGCCTGAAAATGTTCTTTTCCGTTTTTTTCAGTTTATTCTAAATGGTTACTAACAAGTTGAATGGATATTGAATTTATTTTATAATGATTGGATTAGTTGGATTGAGTGTTAATTAGTGCTGTTTTAAATGCTTTATGTTAATCTATAGTACCTCCACAATATGTGCATGAAGCTTTTTTGGGCTTTGCATAGGTGAGTGTGGCAAGATGTGATTTCCCATTAGAGATACAATTCTCAATTAGCATAACTTGATCTCAATGGATCTACATTAACCTATTCCTATGTAGGAACTCCCCTCATGTTTGTTTGGCCGTGGCAGAGGATATTTGTAGAAATATTCTACTTTTTTTTCCACTTGATTAGATAATCACTCTGGTTTTAGGACAGAAAGGTCTCTTTTCCCATGTATTGAATTAAGTGGAAAACTTCTTGTTGAGTACAAAGGTGGAAGGATAAAATACCTCAGCAATAACTTACAGTTCTTGTGGTCTATGTTACCTGCTTTCTAAAGGTAGGCAACCTATTAAGAGTTTCCAGTCTTAAATAAGAGAAGTGGCTATGGAGAAAATTTGTCCTTTCCAGGTTAAGTGGTGTATGAACCCTAGAATCCTACAAACTAGTCCAATTCTACCAAATTAAACAGTTGTTGTCCTTCATTTTCCTTAGAGATATTTTCTTATAATCTTTATATATTATTTTTTGTTAGAATACTTAGGGGAAAAAAATTTGGTCCTGATTATTTTCTGCAAGTGGGTTATCTTGCGTTTCAGAGAGTACATCTACCCCTGCTATTAAGGCAACACATTAAACAGCATTTACAATAATGTTGCATTTTTTTCATGGCTTTTTTTGTTTTGTTTTGCTACTGTGATTTCCCAGTAGCAATTTTTGCCCCTACATGGCAAATTTGCAGTGTGGGGCATGTTTTAATGCACCAGGCCTGAAGTTCATGGTGCAGCAAAGAGGTCTGAGGTGCTGCAAACCACGTGTGCCTGCATAGCTGGATCTGGCCAGGGAGTACAATCCCTGTTAAAGATGCACTATGTTTTTTCCATGTACAGTTGCATTGGGAGGTAAATATTCTTTAATAAAGACTGACAAAAAAAGGAAAATCAGAAGCTTATATTACTATATTGCCTAAAGGCATCAGGACTCATAGTAGAGGTGATATCTTTTATTAGACCAACAAGATTTTGTAAAAAATGTCTTTAATTGCAAGGTTTTGGACACAAACACCCTTTATCAAGCATTGGAGAAAAGATTATAAAATTCTCCTGGGTAGAAATGAAAGTTCACATTTCATCGGATTTCACAGAGCAGTGAGTAGATTGCCTAAAGTTACTTTTTCTATAATAGATAGATAGATAGATAGATAGCCAATTAAAACCACAGCCAACTATCAGGCAGTCTTGTCAGCCTTAGACACTTGAAGCACTTTAAAATATTTTACATTATTTTTTAATAAATAGAAGTGTATTATTGTTTTCTGTACCGGGGCCCAGCAGTAGGCTTGAATAATGATACATTGTTGTTATTGCTGTGAAGTGTGCTAGGTCCTTCACCGACTTGTAGAAAATCACATTCCTTCCTGAAGAGTTGTACAGAAGGCTAGAATAGCCTTAGCTAGGATAGGCTATAGCCTGTTGGTTAAGGGTAGTTTACTGGAAAAGTAGGAGGTATAGATTTGAATCCCTTCATACTGAAAATGGAATCCAGGTCTCACATTTTCTTTGAGAGTGTTCAAATTAATGGACTGCTATAAAACAGGTGAAACTTAGACATGGTCACAGATGGTGGTGGTTTTAAAGAGTGAGCCCTCCTTAGTCCTTTCAAAGAATAGGTGCTTATCTTCAGAAAGGGTTTCAGTTGTGAGTTCCAAGTAGGTGAAGCCACCAACACACTTAACCATGGGACAGGGGTCAATATTTTGTACAAACTGGGTCTAGGTAGCTCCCTGCTTAGTGCCATCTGTTTTGGATTTTATCTTGCCTGTCTTTCCTTGCAGACAGCTGAAACCCTCACAAGGATCTGGATTCCACTTTCTGGGACGAGCTCCTAGAAGTTAGGCATGGCGGTGTCTAATTCTTGGGTGCTTATCTCCGTTATTGGATCTAGCCCTTAATGCTTAGTTAATG